GTGAATTCCAAGAGGTAGCGGCGCGGTACGAGAAAATACGTTGGGTGGCGGCGAGTCTCACTCTAGGCAGGTCAAACTGCTCAGACCGGGCGAGGCGGGTGTCACGGGAGGCTGTATCACGTCTCGGAGTAAATAACCGGCGCATCGCAATCGGGGTGTCCGAATCATGAAGCGCACGATATACACGAATACAGTCACGCTCCGAAATCATATCCTCAAAGTTCACCCAGCCAATAGACCTAAGCACGGGAGACACGTGCTCGGCTCGTCGTGCGCCAGTGACCACACGGGCTGCGAAATGCAGCAGTTTTTGTATGCGCTTCAACTGGCTGCTGCATGCACTAGCCCAAACTGGCAAACAGTACAAGATATGGCTGAATACGTGGGCTTGGATGATGGCCAGGAGCGCTTCAGTAGTGAAGTGACGTCTAAACCGATACAGCGAGACGAGACTACCCGTACACCGGCGAACTACCAGCGACACGTGGCTCTCCCATGTGAGGGATTGGTCAATGATGACACCTAATACTTTGATGTTTTTTGATGGGGTAAATTTGTGACCAGACATTTCGAAGAAAAAGGAGGAACTTTCCTTGACGGCTTGCCGTGTGCCTAAAAGTGAAAATACCGTTTTTGAGGGGTTCATTTTTAGGGAATTTACTCTCAGCCACATTTCTATGGACTTGAGGGATTCCTCGAGGCGAATCTTGAGCAAACTCATGCTGACTTTGTCCCTTGAAGAACTGTCGAGCAGTTGGGTGTCATCAGCGTAACTGATGAGCCGTCCATGGGGAAGAAAATTTCGCATTTCGTTAACCGTGAGACAAAAAAGAATCGGCCCGATAATCGATCCCTGGGGGACGCCACACGTCACTGGCAGCACAGTGGTGCCGCCGCGAACCATCTGTCTTCGATCGCTCAGGTAGCTGGCAAACCAATCAGACGAGATGCCGTACCATCCCATCTTACTGAGAAGGACGCCGTGGTCGACGCTGTCAAATGCCTTACTGAGATCGAGGGATGTTATCGATGCTAGGTGACCTGAGTCGATCTTCTTCGAGATCCACTCGACAGCGTCGACCAGGGCGTCCTCTACGCTGTGTCTGCGTCGGTAAGCATATTGTGTTTGTAACAATCGTCGGTAACAATTGAACAAGTGTAATTGATGCCACAAATTATTACACTACAGACGTCAGACGTACACACTGTTGAATGCAGTGTTTTCTAAAGATGAAAGAGCATTGACTGCCGACTGGCAGAGCTGGATGATCTACTTTGTACAAGGTACCTTATTTCAGACTTGGCATGGGGATTGTGAGTTCGTTTCCCATTGGCAGGGATCATCCGACGTATCAGCTAACATAAAATCAGTCCTAAAAAAAAATAAAAGAAAACAAATTTGAATATAGACAGTTGTGAAATTTAACAGGACGAAGTTCAAATGTAAGGAAATTAATTTCAATAATAGCAAGAATTTATAAAATTTATGAAAAATAAAAAGGAACTTATTCTTTTTTTTCAACTTGCATTGCTCTTTTTACATAATACTGGATAATGTTTTTTTCAGACTCTAAGACAGCAAATCATGAGCAGTTCAGCTCAGCTGCAGAGGCTTGCTGATAGCGCAGGGTCTTTGCTCAACTGTGCAGGCCTTGTGCTAGAACATGCCACTGGAGAGCAACAGCAAAAGCTGCTGCTTACCATCCGCGAACATATGCTCGAGTACGCTCGCATGCACGTGGAGGTGCAACAATCGACCGAGGTGCTGCAGCAGGTTAAGGACGAGGCCGTTGTGTCGATCACCAACGGTACAGACACGGACCTCACCCAGATGCTGGACGAGACCCAGCGCCGAACGGCTCAGCGCATGGCCAACGTGTCCGAGCGGGAACTGACCACCTATCCGCGCTACCAGCAGCTGCTGCAGCGCGAGGAGGCGGCCGGCAGCGCGGCGGCCGCCGCCGCCGGCGACCAGGAGCTGGTCATGACCGAGACGCACATGGTGACGCGCGACCCGTGGTCCCAGCAGGAGATCCGCCAGCCGTATCGGAACGCGCGCTGCGGCCACCTGTACGACCGCAGCTCGCTGGAGGCCGTCCTCCAGAAGCGCTCCCGACGGCCCACCTGTCCGCACGTGGGCTGCACCAACAAGATGCCGCTCCGCTGGGAGGATCTCACCGAGGACACCTTCGCCAAACAGGCCATCGAGAAAAAGAAGACACAGGCTTAAATGGTTTCGTGGTTAGAGCCTGTTCGTTACCATCCCATCATTCCAGTATTGCAGTGTCATTGCCATTTGTAATAAACGTTCGTCCATCGCCATGCGTTATTTTTACGTTCCTAATAATGTGGGCATTTTGCGCCTCATGAGTCAACACTCAACTGAGTTCAAATTTGCACTGTTCACGTCTTTTCAAGTCGCTGACCAATGGCATGAGTGAACCCTAGCTAGAATGGCTCAAGCATGTTGCGCCATCAGTGCCAGGGTCCAGTCCGGAATCTCGTACGGAGATGGAACTTGCAGGAATGAGTCATAAGTTAATTTTCGAATCCTCTCAACCCAAACTTGTTCGATGTGTCGGTTTTTTCATTGGCGTCAACAAAAGTCAGGTCAAGCACGTGATCATTGAGGGAAATAAGGGAACTGGTATATTTGCACCGGAAATCATCCAGATACTAACTCATTAGCACATTGAGGTGTTTTTATCGTGATGGTATCGGTTGAGTTGAGATGCCTGCAGTAGGCTAGGGCGCACACAAGGGAAGAGGGCACACGGGCCCGTGCCCCCCCCCATTCGAATTAGGGGCGGCGGGCCCATTTGAGGCTGCCGAAACCGAATGCCGCCGGTCCTCAAATGGGCCCCTAATCTTTAGACCGCCTGAAGATGAGTTGAAGTGGTGATTGAAAAGACCAGCTGGGCCACCTCGGTTACTAGCAGGCCCATATGAGTCCATGTAGGGCAACTTTTTTTCGGCAGGGGGCCTGAGGGGCCAGTTTGCGCCTTGCGGGTCGTGCCACTCCCATTCAAAAATCCTGTGTGTGACGTGCGCGCCTGGCAATAGGATAGGTGGAAAGGTGTAAAACATCTCAAGGTCATCTGAGGTCACCATTTTCGAAAAAAGCGTGTAAAATCACTCATTGGGATGCGAATGATGGCTTATTTCGTCTCGATCGGCACTGTAGTTTTCGAGTTTCCGAGGTAGGATCGATGCGGGCTGCGAGCAAGATTCCTTTACTTCTCTGCCAGGTTGGCGAAGGAATAGCTTTGGGCAGCTTTGGGGCTGGCTTATATGGCACACATATGGTAGCACTGCTTTTCGACAGATGATGCTTTCTTCAGACGTTTCTGATCTTTCGTTGTTGACAGAAAAAGTAGGGGCATAAGGCAGTTCAAGCTACATATAGTAAGGTAAGCTTTTTTGGTGATTGCTGATAATCGAATTATTGCTGGCCTGTGCTTATCATTCGATTTCGGTTATATTTATCACTGCTTTTCCACGGCACAAATAATTCCGATTTTGCAAAATGGATTTTCTGGATAATATGAATATCATGTAGAGACGTGTTTTTAAACTGTTAATATATGATTAAATGATATCCAAAGCCATAAGTATTTTTTTGCATATGGTGAAAAGTGACAGAGAAAAGTGCCCACGAAGCTGTGTTAAATTAATCGAAGCATGTCATGGAAACATAGCAATAGGTAGTGTATAATGTATATCTTCGGATCTAGACTCTTAAAGGAAATAGTTCACTTTCACGAAATTATTTTTTTTGCAACGATTTATGATTTTTTATGTTCAAAATAATCAGCAAAGAAAATAAAACCTTTTTATAACAAAAGATTTTTTTTTTCTATATTTTGATATAGGAAGAACTTTTCAGTTTCTGTAAGGCACATGCGATCCAGTATGAAAAGAGCATGGGTCCCGAAAATTCTTCAGAAACAGAGAAATTATCGCAGCCACCGGCATTTGGGCGATCTGCTCGATCTGATAATGTTCCCCTGAATGTCCTAATTGATCAGTACGAGAATTTCTCTAGAGTTCTCGTAGATAATTTCTCTAGTTTCTGAAGAATTTTCGGGACCCATGCTCTTTTCATACTGGATGGAAATATATGCAAGGCACACATCCTCAAGGCAAGACACCTTTGAAATAGAATATCTTTGCCTAGGGTGATCGTTGGGCTGTAAAAGCTCCTGATTTATGCTCGTCTCAGCCCAAGCTACGGAACTGCTATTCCAGTTCAAAACCCATGTTAAAAAGTGAACTATTTCCTTTAAGTCTTAGGATTGAACTTTAGTGCCTGACTGTGGTCTGTGATGGCTCATTTAAGAGTTCATTGTATTATTTGGCTCTAGGCATCAAGACTCAACAGGCTTCCTAAAATTTTGGTAATAATTGGGTCACACAGACTGAAACTGTCATGTGATTCATCATTTAGTTTTTTGTTTATAAAGTCTCTGTGTCAAAAACAACTTCAACATTTTTCTTTTGCTATCACTAAAGTCAAAGCTTGTATTGTTATCCCTGATGTTATTTTTGTAGACTGTTGGCTGTGGTCTAGTGGTCAGTGGACAATGAATTAGGCATTTACATGAATCTGTGACATTGGCTTCCATCTATCCTAGAAGCAGTAAAGGTGTTTTGAAATGATTTTATGGGTGTTTGATTTTTATTGCAGTTTCTTTTTTGCAAATTTTCAGATAATAGGTAAATGAACAGCATAGCATCCCTCCAAATTTTGACAATACTTGAGCAATGCAGCAATGCAATGAACTATAACTGACTTAAATTGTGTACTGAAAACCAAGTAGATCACATATTTGATTATTGATTTACCTTTTGACTATTGAAATGAGATTCATATACCTGCATATAATATAAGTAAACAGCATTTGATATAATAAAACCCTAGCATTAGTATCATATGATCTATAATTAAATTCTCCCCACCATCTGGGATCCATGCAGAAGTGTGTCTGTATTTCAGAGTGATGTTGTCAGGTCGACTGGCACTGGTGACTGGTGGCGGCTCCGGCATCGGCCGGGCCGTCTGCCAGGTGATGGCTCGAGAGGGCGCCCGCGTCGTGGCCGCCGACCTCAACGAGGCCTCCGCCAAGGAGACGGCCGCGCTGCTGGCGAGCGCCGAGCACGTGGGCGTGCCGCTGGACGTGACGAGCGAGGAGTCGGTGGCGGCCGTGGTGCGCGGCGTGCGGGACCGCTACGGCGCGCCGGCAGACTGCGTCGTCAACAGCGCTGGAATCACCGGCTTCAGCTTCCTGAAAGACATGTCTCTGGAAACGTTTTCACACGTGATCGACGTGAACCTGAAGGGGACGTTCCTTGTTACCAAGCTCGCCTCCAACGCTATGATCGAGGCCAAAACGGGAGGCTCCATCACCAACATGGCAAGCATCCTGGGTAAGATAGGAGCTATCAGCCAGTGCAACTACTCTGCTAGCAAGGCCGGAGTGGAAGCCTTCACGCGGACGGCCGCCAAAGAGCTCGGCCGAAAAGGGATCCGGTGCAACGCCATTCTTCCGGGCTACATCGACACGCCGATGACATCGATCGCCTCGGACAAAATAATCAAAATGGTGATGCCGCTGATCATCCTGGCCCGGAAAGGGCGGCCTGAGGAGGTGGCCGAGCTAGCCGCCTTCCTGGCCTCTGACCGCGCCTCCTACATGACCGGAGCCAGTGTCGAGGTTACCGGCGGATACGGCCTGTAGGGATAACGGGGATGTCTGACAATTTGTGCCATAGTGAGGGATAGATAAAGTATTTTTACGAATTATTGAATCGGTAATCGGTATTTTGACAGATGTCAGTTGTCTTCCTGGTGAAAGTGATAAAGAACAATGCAATTTGTCAAAACTCAGGAACGGCTGGATCGCAGAATAATCGCTATGTGTATTTTTAGGCTAGTTGTGTATCATGAATGATGATGAACTAATTGTGGCTTTTTATACAGCTACTTGTCCATGTCTTGAAACAACCAAAAGCCGCCATGCATAATGCATTTGTACGTTCCATATTAACCCTCGCCCATGTAGGGGGGGGGGGTGCAACCCCCCCCCCCCCCTGAGGTTTTTCTTAGCTACACGCCGAACCGTTTCAGATAGCCTGCTCAAATTTTCAGTACCCTTTGGGGCATCCTTTGCGCAACTTTTGGTATTTTTTTTTTGTCAAGGTCATGTCAGGTCACGGAGTTATGACGTCATAAAGGGAACAACCTCCGGCCAGATTTACGCTAAATTGGAGATTGCTTCACATTGGTATAAATGCCGACTGACCTGACACACTGATGGATTGTTTTAGAATCACAACTGGCTGATTTGACATTGGCACAATGTCTGTTGACATTTTGAAGGTTACTAAAGGTCAAGGTCAGGTCAGTGACCTCGGTTGACCTGTAATGACTTCTTGCACTTGTGTGCCTTTTCGGGGTATTTTGATGCCCTGAATTCGAATTTGCTATCCATTTCAGGCATCGTTGGTTGTTTCTTGTAGTTCATTTTGGGTCAGGGTCAGGTCAGTGACGTCACACGCCTGACGTGACCCAATGCACAAATGACCTTGCAGACTTCCGATGCTCCCAACGCATCATTTTTAGAGCTATGACATCGAAATATACACCAAACGATAGAGAATTTATCACGGATCACGATAGTGAAGGTTTCGAGTCGATATCTTTTACCATTTTGCCGCAATCGGCGCGGAAATCTGAAAAAGTTAGATTTTTCCGAAAATTTGACCTTTGACAGGTCATAAGTAGGTCAAATGTTGACCTAGGACCAAAAAATATCCCACCAATCGCGAGATCTCGTTGAGAGCAATCCGTTGGTCTTTTCCGCTAAGCTCTACGACGCTCCGTTTTCAAACGCCAGGGGGGGTCGCACCCCCCCCCCCCCCCCTGCATGGGCGAAGGTGGCAAAACACCGTTTACGGGCGAGGGTTAAACAATGTTTGCGTGTTTTGATGTACGTAATCAGCCGAATATATTAAATATTTGCCCTAAGCATGACCTTCCTGCATATTCTGATTTGGCGTTTCGGGTAGTTTGTGTAACCTTATGTCAAAACCGTAGAGGGACTCATATAGCAGATAGGAGAACCACTATTTTGCAGCCCACAGAGAACGGGCGATTGCTGATCATGCTGAATGTTGTCTGAACGGAGACTGAACAGTCTTGGGACGCTGCATTGCTACGTGATCTTGCGTGAACCCGTCGGTGATTCCTTTCAGCAGTCAGCGGGGCAGTAGCTGGATGACATTGGCCAAGACCTCCTTTTACTTGCTAGTTTTCGAGCAGCGTTTCTTTGTAGCCGATTTCCGGCATAGAATCCTAAACGTTCTGCGTTGGAGTGTCAACTGTCAGCGAACTACACGAGATATGGTTTTGCGAGGCCTGGTAGAAAATAACTGTGAAGGCAGGGAGCCGGGAGTGCAAGTTAAGATAGTTTTGTTTTTCGTTTTATTGAGTATCTGACATCTGTCTGTAGTGTTGGTTTGATACTCGGCCGTACAGCTTACGAAGGACGCCCTTCGAATTTTAAGTAGGGAAACTAAGAGGGAAACTTCTATTTCTGTGGTTCCATCTGCTGAGCCCTGGTAAGGGAAAAATTACGAGCCGAAAGACTAGGGTCCTTTGCCCCTTTGTCCCCCCCCCCCCCCCCTACAAATGATCACAACCGTCCACGTGGAACGCCAGCGACTGCCATAACTACCTGACCTTCTGAACGACTCGCCAGTTCCCGGCAGCTGGCACTGGTTTCCCACAGGTCCCTATGGCTGTTTCAGAGCGATGTTGTCAGGTCGACTGGCACTGGTGACTGGTGGCGGCTCCGGCATCGGCCGGGCCGTCTGCCAGGTGATGGCTCGAGAGGGCGCCCGCGTCGTGGCCGCTGACCTCAACGAGGCCTCCGCCAAGGAGACGGCCGCGCTGCTGGCGAGCGCCGAGCACGTGGGTGTGCCGCTGGACGTGACGAGCGAGGAGTCGGTGGCGGCCGTGGTGCGCGGCGTGCGGGACCGCTACGGCGCGCCGGCAGACTGCGTCGTCAACAGTGCAGGAATCAATGACGAACGACAGTTTTCTCGTCAATATGATTGCGGCGCAGTTCATGAAAGTGCTGGATGTAAATCTCAAAGGAACCTTTCTGGTTACAAAGCTCTCCACAAATGCAATGATTGATGCTAAAATCGACGGCTCGGTCGTAAACATCGCTAGCATCGTTGGAAAGGTGAGCAGCATCGGAACGTGCAACTACTCTGCCAGCAAGGCCGGAGTGGAAGCCTTCACGCGGACGGCTGCGAAGGAGCTTGGTCGAAAGGGGATCCGGTGCAACGCCATCCTGCCGGGCTTCATCGACACGCCGATGGTGGCGGCGATGCCGGAGAAGGTGATGAAGCTGCTGGTGCCGCTGATCGTGCTCGGTCGGCCCGGCCGGCCCGAGGAGGTGGCCGAGCTGGCCGCCTTCCTGGCCTCTGACCGCGCCTCCTACATGACCGGAGCCAGTGTCGAGGTCACCGGCGGATACGGAATATGACGTCATGAATGATTGTAATATTTTAGAATGATAATGTGGTAATAGTTTTGTCAGAGTGAATTATTGAGCAATCTAGTGATCCGCGACTGCTCGACTCGCAAGTGATTGAAATTGATATTTGAAACTTGAAAGGAACTCTTGGAACGGGAAACTTGAATTGGAAAACCAAGTGGGTAAGTAAACGTTTTGGCACCAGAGCTCAAGCTGCGAGCGCCAGCCGCCGAATAATCTTCGATGAAGCGGGATCGCCGGACGCAGGGCTTAGGCACAAATATAATGCCTACAATGACAGCCCCTGCACCCTTCATCTCAGACCCATTCGCCACCTATGGGTCTCGCAGAGATACCATCTGCGACAGGAAAATTGCGACGCTGGCGTCACCACATCCGTTCCGAGTTTTCCTCGGTCCTGCTCTGCAGGGCATGGTCTGCCTCTCAGTGCCAACGGTATGCCACATTTTCCCGTCTCAAGGAACGCGCAGTGGTTGGCGCGGAAGGTTACACCGACTCCCGTGGTGCTTTGGCCGTTGGAGGCAGTTCGGTTTTATCGGTGGCTTTCCTGTCTTATGAGGATATTTGAACCCGTTGCTTGTGTCAGGTTTATACTTGGTCGGTATTGGTGACAGTTAAGTGTTTCAAATGAAGCTTGCTTATCGTTCTAACGTATTGTTCGCTCTTACGTATCATTAAATGCAAGTTGATGTAAAAAATGTATTTCCTTTGATATAGCATCGTATCTTATAATAACCAGGCTGTGCTTCAATGAATATCTTGATGGTTCTTTTTTGTAATACGAAATTTATTTCTTCCATCACATCTCCTTTTACTACGGGACATGCACTATGCATATGTATTTGCATGAAATGCACCTATTAAAGCTGCTTGTCACCTGCGTTAGAGTACCATGCAATATGCTCACACATCTGTACACATGTAGGCACAATATATCACGAATGCATATAGAATGCACAAAAATAGTATAAGCATGTTTCATTTACAAATTCACCCTCATCCCGCACTGCACCATTTGCAATGTGCACATCGTCAAGAGGGCCGTCGCTGTCACTGTTCGTCGTTGTCCGTAAGGTCGTTTGGTCGTTGCGCTGTACGTTCTGTCTTATGAGCTAACGATTGTCCACAAGTTGTCAGCCCTGAAACGGTGCTGGACCGGGCTCGCAAGGAAAGCGAGCGAAAGTGGAGGGCGTCGTTATACTCATAGTGTCATCACTCATCGGTCTTGTGATCCGCTTCAGACACTGTGTTCCCGTCAATATGAATTTGACCCCTGACTCCACGGATGCAAACACTGGTTGATACCATTGATGACGTAGGTAAGGCATTCAAAGCTCTTGTTTAGGTTACCTACTCATGCTGTCTACTTAGTACTTACCTCATCAAATGCCTGGATCCTGAATCCACGCTTGCTGCCTTTGATATTGAGGCTAGCGAAAGCAACTTCCTAATTATGATTGTTCGCTTGAACCCCTGCAGAGTGGGCTTAAATCAGTGACGTACCCAAGGGGGGCCACGGGGGCCAAGGCCCCCCCCCCTGAGCGCCGAAGGCGCTCAGGGGGCCCCTCAGGCCCCAGGACATTTTTATAAACACTGGATAAAACGTCTTTTACTCGGAAGAAAAATTGATATTAAAGTTTCATTTATGTGCCCTGGGTACCCGAGGGGCCCCTGCAGTCATCCAAGGGCCCCAGTTTCCTGGGCCCCTGGTCGCCTAGGGGGCCTCTGGTAGCCGGGGGCCTGGTCTCATGGGGGCCCCTGATAGCCTGTGGCCCCTAGTCGCCTAGGGGGCCCTGGTCGCATGGGGGGCCTCTGGTCGCATGAGGCCCCTGATCGACTGGGGGCCCCTAGTTGCCTAGGGGGCCCTGATAGCCCGGGGCCTGGTCGTATGGGCCCTTGATAGTCTGTGGCCCCTAGTCGCCTAGGGGGCCCTAGTCGCATGGGGGGGCCTCTGGTTGCATGATATTGAGGCCCCTGATCGCCTGGGGGTACCTAGTCGCCCAGGGGGCCCCTGGTAGCCGGGGTGCCTGGTCGCATGAGGGCCCCTGGTTGCCTGGGGCCCCCGGTCGCCCCTAGTCGCCTGGGGGACCCTGGTCGCCTTGGGCCCCTGGTAGCCTGGGGGCCCCTGATCGCCTGAGGGCCGCTGGTCACCTAGAGGGCCCCTGGTCGCC